CCAGTGTGATTAGAACCCTACAAAAGTTTGATTGCTGCACAATAACTCGGACCTATTCAATTCCTCACCAAAAATTTTCATTAAAAAAAAGGAGGGTTCAACTGGTAGACATGACCAATATCCAATCACTCAAAGTACCCTGCTTGAATTTTAAAGATTTAAAAACACACAGGATTTTGTTATGGTAAAATTAAACAGCTAAAAATAAGATAACATTACTTCTGTCAGTCTATACTTTATCTTGTTTTAAAAAAGTTTTACTAATTCAATAAAGAGACAATGAAATATTACAGAAAATGAGTAAAACGTGTTCTGGCAGAATCTGGTTAATTATTAGATGCTTTAATGCAGACTGTTTATAGTCTGTTTATAGTCTGCATTAAAGCATCTAATAATTTACCAGATTCTGCCAGCACACATTTTACTTATTTTCTGTAATATTTCATTCATGAGGATACTATTTAAGAAGTTGCACATTATCAAACATATAAATCAATATCAGATTTATCAACCTGCTCTTTTCTCTTGCATCTTACACCCTTTCACAGACAGACTTTCTTACAAGCACACAATAAAATTCAAGGTAAACATAATGTTCATCTCCCCACACCCCACCCATATACTCACTAGGTCACTTATGATTGGTAGTTCCAGAACCTGTCACCTTGGCACAAGGTTATGGGGGTGTTCCGCGATGCAGTTGATATTGCTTTTTGTATATTTCAGCACACCAGTGCTTTTAACGCTCCAAAAACATGGAGCACTGGCCCTAATACAACCTCCCTAGGGGGGTCCTGCAATCTTTGTCACAGTTATTCTCTTTCTCAGAATGAAAACATAAATGGAAGACAACACAGAAAGCAAACAATAGAGCTGGACACACTGGTAACCTTCAGAAAGTCGACCAGCCTAACAAACATGTGAATGAAAGTGACCAACTCTATTTGTTGAGATTTGCGTAAAGTTCACCAAATTCAAATATATTCATAAAACATTCCTGTACACATACATGAAATGTAATGTCAATAGACATTTATATATGTCAATGAAACAGTGTTTAAAAATAAATAAAATAAATAGAAAATTTATATTTAATAACCCATAAAAAATGTAACAACCCATTAAAGGAACTTGAATTAAGCAAGGAATGAATTATAAAAAGTAGCGGAAAGCTGAATTAACAAGCTTAAGAAAAGAAAAATGATTTATCTAATGTATGAACAGCACTATATACACCATAAAACTATATGTATTGAGTTTCAAATACACACTATTATACATGATGGTTAAACACTGCTATACTGAAGATACAAGTAACAGAAAATCAAAATAACTTTAAAAAATGAAATTACAATAAAGGTCAGCCATTGTCACACTAGATACTGCTATACATAAATCATAAAGACATAAATGTTGCTTCTACAAAAGAATATATTACATGTCCACAAGGTATTGTACATAAATATAAAATATATGCTAGGTTAACTGCTCTAAAATAATGATCGGCAGTCACAATTTCACTGAATCCATTCTAACATTAAATATAAAGTTCTCCCAGAAAATGGATACCAAGACAATTTCTTTGTATGATGTTGACAACATCAACTATTTAGCGCAGATTTATCTACAACAAAATATGAGTCTTGTGTTACGTAGCCGATGTGCCATTGACAAAAATAGGAACTTTTATGTTTATTCAAATATGACTTTTGACTCTAGTTTTGATGTTCAACATTTGTATTTTTTGTTTGTTAATAATGAGTTGAAAAGAGATTACCTATGTTTTTAAAATATTACACTGAAATTAAAAAACACTATCTGTTTCAATAATTTATTAATTAAGCATCACAATATAAATTTGGAACTCAACAGAATAAGTCTGCTGTGTTAAAAAAAAACTGATTATATTTCAGGTAAAGGAAACATTTGACAAGCAATTAATTCAAGTATTTAAATTCCATATCCTATGGTCAGAATGCAGTTACGCTGTCAGTTAAGGATATACAAATTATTAGTTGGGTCATGTGAAAGACTGAAGCAATATTGATAAGACCGTGAAAATATTGTTCATATATTATTGATCTAGCATACATTTACAAAAGCTGGAATCTTCTGCCTTTGCCTTTCATCCCATAATGGAGCATACACCCTAAACAAATCTCATGCCATCATTCTATCTTGTAGCAGTAATAATCAATGTATATTTCTAAAAGATAAATTTTCTCTTATAACCACCAACAAAGACAGAACAAATAGCAGACGGTACATGGCACATACAAAAATTATTAAACACTAAATTTGGAAGAATCAAAGGCAGAGTTTCTGCAGAACAAAATATAAAAATTCCCACAAGATTTTGTTCATAACTATAAACAATGGCTATCCATTTGTTCTGAAACAATCATCAGTCACCAACAACTGTATTGTGTCAAGAAAGAAACTAGTATGTACAAGTATTATCAAGCCTTCTCGCCTGCAATGAAAGATCATGCTTTTCCCATTTGGTGATTTTCATCACACAAAAAGTGTTCATTATGATATGCCTCTTGGAACTAGTAATGCACACAAGCTAATATATCACTGTTGATATATAGTGAAAGTTTTGAATGAAGCAGTGAAAGTAAGAATACAAAGGTTTCCCATTACATTTCCTAAATTTTGATATTTTATATTTCACTCACCTCTTCTTCCTTTTCCCTTTCTTGTGCTTTAAAATATGTGATTAATTACTCGTGCTAAATTATTACATTTTAAAGTAAGCCACTGAACACAACTGTGCTGTATACAATATAACAGAGGGCATTTGCTGCATTAAAATAGGAAGAAAATGTAAATACAGTTTGCACTTATACCAGACTATGGGGCAAAAAAAAAAGCTGGTCATGATGAAGACTTTCTATACATAAATAATTATGTATTTAAGACAGTACTTAAACTTCAAAATAATAAAATATAATTATACACACATAAAAAGTAAAGGTAATCCCATAATAGGTACTGCTACTGTAGTGAGAAATGTCAGACTTTAACTTACTGTTGGCCCTATTATATGAAGTGTGGTAGCCAGTTTACCTAGCCATCACCTTTCCTTCTCAAGCAATTCCCATAAACTTCTTAAAATATTGTTTTGGTATCAGCTGTTTTTTTATGAAGTTGGCTTGACCTTAGATGGTACAGGTAAAAAAAAAAATCTGCCCCTGGTGTGGCCTGAACCCTGACCACAGTCTTGGCAGGTAAGTATACTGACCACTTAGTCACTGTGGCCTGAACCCTGACCACAGTCTTGGCAGGTAAGTATACTGACCACTTAGTCACTGTGGCCTGAACCCTGACCACAGTCTTGGCAGGTAAGTATACTGACCACTTAGTCACTGTATAATGAGAAATTACAAAGGGCATTTTTCCCAAGCCAATTAATAATATTTATGTTGTCATTTATTTAAAATGCTCCTTAGCTCATATAAAAATGAATGATAGAAACATACAACTGTTTAGTTAGAATACAAATGGGTTGGGAGTCTTGTTGTTAGAATGAAACAGCAGCAATTACTATTCTTTTTCTTTCTTCTTTGCCTTCACCAGCTGTAAACTCCGGCGGAAAGTTCTGGTTGTTCGTCCACTTCTGGACTGCAGTCCTGTTCCAGAACCTGAGTGTTGTGTGTGCATCCGTTTTACAGATCTGACTCATTGGCATGCAGACTGCTGGTTCCTTGCCTCTCAGGCAGATGCACTCCGACTTCAAAGGAAGCTCGCAATTAGTCGACTCTTACGACATGCTTTTGGGTAGGCAGTGGGTCTATTCTTGTTTTCGCTATAATGGGGCCCCGGAACCTACAAGGGGGGTAGCAATTACTATTAAAAAATGCTACATTTAAAAAGAGTTGACAAGACAGCAAGAGAGCAGTTAAAAAGAAGATGGATTCATAGTATTAAAGTCATTGTAAATGCCTATGGCATGAGAACAGCCACCCAGTGAGCACTGAACTATGAACTATTACTTCTATCCGAAGACATTTGATGCTAGAAGTAGAGATAATAACTACTTGGTTTTCATTATACATTATTCTATAACATTTGTGCATGGAGGAAAATGTAAACAATAATTGTTACTGTCAATAATTATAAAGTGGAGAAATTATATATATTATTGCACAATAATAATAAAAAATTGCTGTGTGTTCACAATGAAAAGTTACTAAGCAATCACAAAGATTTAGTGGGAAAAATTGCTTTCACTCCTTCCAATGTAAGAATACCATAAAATAAGTTGGCATGATCTCAGTCAATGAAGTGCAGTCTCCACAAAGAAGTCTGGCTGCAACTATTAATATCTTGACTGGGTGAAACAGGTGATCCTGATCCACAATATAACAAGACTGAACTTAAATTTTTGTTCTGTAAAGCCTGTGTGCATGTGGACAGACATCCAATCATATGATTCATCACTTGTGGATCAAACACTCACCTATGGAAACAAAAACTGTGGAGTCTCAGCAAACTGCCACAGAAATATACATAAAAGACAACTGATTAATTCATGCAGAATTCTGGTATACTCTGGTATAATAAAAATTGGTGAGGCTGCTCGCAGTTTGTCGCAGCCATTACATTTAACCCCCTCAAGCCTCTCTTTGCCTTCATTATCACGTGGTTGACAAGGTCATAAAAGCAAGACTACGATCAAAACACAATCCTAGATACTTCATTGAACGAGTTCTCTCCATGATCTCTGAACAAAGACTTACAGTTGGTGTTGGTGTTTATAATATGGTTGTTCAGTAAAAACCATGTCATCGTTGAGTTCGACACATTATTGATATTACATATGGCCAACAACATTAAAAAACAAACAATAAATTCTGCCAGAAACACTACAAATCTGAAGAGCATTTCTAAATATTAACATCTGATATATGTCGATAAATCTTCATTGTTGAAATAAAAATACAGTTTAAAAAAACTAATTGTTAAACATTGTTAATCTTTATATACAACAGCATCTAAACCAATTCATTATTATCTGACAGCATTTCTTGTTCTTCCCCATTGACGTCAGCAGTTAACTCTACTTCTCGACTTTTGCTTTCTAGTTCTCCAACCTCAGCCCAGGGCTGCAGATCTCCAGATGCAAAAATAACAAAGAAAGTCGCACCAAAAATGTATATAGCAGCAGCAATATAGAACACTATTTGCCATTCAGCTCTGGTCTGACCCTGAAAGAAATGTAAAAAATTAGGCATTATTATTTACATGAATGGAGACAGGAAAAAGAGAAGGCCAAAATAAACAGCACCCTTTTTAAACACTGAGGCAGATGGTGTTTATCCTTTATTTGTATCCAGCAGTCAGCACTGGATGGGGAATGGGTTGATACCATGCTCATCACCTTTAATTTCTAGTTGATGTTACACATTTAAGGCAGGGTGAACTCTGGAGCCAGTGTTGTGGGTTAAACTCACTTTGCTGTTCAATTGTACCAGGCGTCAGGGCTGTGATCGCCTACGCCGGTCGTTGAGGGGCTAGATGATGATGATGAGGGTAGAGGTGAGTGCAAAAGGTCCACACAGGTAAACTGAGAGACAGGGCTTTCTTGTGATTAATGGTTAACAGCGATCTTGACAGGGATTGTGAAGAACCTGGAGGGTTGGTGAAAATGTGAGATCCACGTGTAACCACAGTGGGAAGAATCCCAGGGTAGTTGGATTAGTCAGTGTCCCTCAGTCTGTGTTTGGATGTCTGTTATTTTTAGTTGTAATTATGTGTATTATTTTATTCTGGTGAAAACTTAGATTGTTCAATAGAATTTGGTTATAATTTGGAATGCCCCAGTTGAGTGTAATTAATGGAGACAAGGCGTTGGGGGCCCAACATCTCTTAATGATCCAACTGCTAGGATGTGTTTCTGATCACATTGGAGGCGTGTTGTGGAGGCATATCGCTGTGTGCAACATAATAGTCAGTTATGGCCGATTATAGGTGACCTACAGAGTGGGCACATAACCGAGGTATTTTTATTATGGCCGGTTATAGGTGACTCAAAAGTGGGTTCATAACAGTAGTGTTCATGAAAGGCTACCGGTGACCACATGAGCTGGCCAATAGGCCAAAGGCATCTTATGATGTAGACTAACGTCAAGTCGAGATTAGGTATTTTCCTTTGAGGTGACAATGCCTTGGAAATACACCATTGAGTATCTGGGGGTATTTGACGGACAGTAGTTCAATAATCACCAATTCATCTTCATCGTCACACTGTGTTTCGTCCTAATAAATAGACTGATGCATGATTATAGAGATGACTCTTCTCGTACTGTTGATGTGGGTGGCTGTTGATTGTTATCGGTGTTGGTGTAGGATGTGACTATGTGAGTTAAGCACTCTCTGGTAGGGAACCAAATAAGTCACCAGAAGGTCGACTTGGATCTTTCGTATATATACGGGTGGAGCATTGATCATACACCCTTGGACACTTCGCCACAGCCATGTAAATTTTGACAAATATAATCTGCCTTGATGTTATTTCAAAACACCGACCCCCTTGCTGGATTCTGGCACACTAGGCACCTCATCTCCAAAAGGAATGTTGAATTAAAAATCAATCTTACAGCACTTGGGAAATGTCCATAAGTGCTTCATCCCCATCTTCAGCTGTAAGTGAAGAGTTTCAGTTCTAATGGTACCAGAAACAGTCTGACTGTACCTCCATCTCACCTTTACCTTTTGAACCAGCCACTTCCCCTGGACACCATTCTCCTTACATTGTGATGATCTGTTTGTGCCTCTGCACCGCTCGCTCCCAAAGAGCCTTTATAACATCTACATAAGTCTGACTGTTGCTCAAATACTCTAACCCACTCCTCTCCTCACACAATATATCAAGCCTGCGCACAGGTCTAAATGTGTCTTTAGCTTGCGACATCCAGGATCTTTCTATTGTCAGTTGTGAACTTTAGCTCTACATAAGGCTTCAAGGAGAGGTGCTTCTTGTTTGCAGCTGCTCTAAGATACAACTTTCTTGCAGTATTTTGAGTTTATCTGTAATAGTCAGCAGCGCAAGCATATCACATAAATATTTTAAGACCAGTTACAGTTGCTCAGTTGTGACATAATTACAATTTTAGTTTTCAAGCATGCACTCATGCCACTGATGGTAATGGTATAACCCCATTAATGCCAATCCATTTAACAAATTAGGTCAATCAGCACTGTATGCCTTCTGCACCAAGGATATATAAAATACACACACACACACACACATATATATACATAAAAAATGTGTGTGTGTGCACACGCACACACACACACACTATTGCACACAAGCACCTCATAAACACTAAGTTTACAATCTATGCTTTGCCAGTTAAGTGACTTGAAAAGATTTTCCCAACTCGAGGCACATGGTATATTGGTTCATCACTTTTCTATGCGAACAGTGGAACACAGTAGTTCTGACAAGACCAACAACACACACATATTATTTTTATGTGTTTTTATATATTTTATTACATGTGTGTGTTGTTGGATTTATCAGGTAAAAATGGATTGCAACACTATGCACATCACGAATAGCTGCCCTAACGTTCATCTTTGTGCCAGGTCATGCGAGTGTTCAAGAGAACCAGCGTGCAGACTATCTTGTTGACACTGGGGTTGCTATGGTTGGTCCAGTACTAGATAGAAGTGATGTTATCAATGCCATGCGCTGCATTTACCGTACCGAGGAGCATACCAAAGGGCATGACTCCGTATCCCTGTCTAGACTGATGGACATTGGGGTGCAGCCTGGAGCTGCAAGAAATGAACATTTCACTAAGGGGACAAAACGTTTCATTAACCAACACAGAACAGATGTCGTCAGTCGTTTTAAACTTGTGGAGCTTTTGAGGAGAAGATTGGAGCATCTATGGATCTGTTTGGAGTGCTGTGATGATAATCTTTTCTAATCACTAATCACTGTCATTACAAGTCAAATGTATTGGATATCTTCTCCCTCTTCAAATTTTATATCACATTTGATTATACACAAATTACAGCTAAAGGTTTTAAGTGAGATGATAAAGACTTACACTCTCAGTTATTACACCCACGACAACTGGAGATATAAATCCTGTTACTGAAGCCAGCGAGTTACTAATCCCAAACAAAATACCAGCAAAAGCTGGGGCAATGTCTACATGGTTCACTAGAAATCCACTGTATTGAGTTCCTGTCAGAGACACAGCAAACACCAGCAAGCCAATGGCCAAACCAGACTGGGAACAATCAACATATCCAAGGCCTATCAACATGAGTGCAGGAACAATTTTACCTGGTAAATAAAAGTGTGTTAGCAATGTTAGCAAAGCTAAATAAACAAACAGTCAAGATAATGGCAACATTCCAGAAATGTAATGAGCATAAGTAGCATGCTCATCCTGTAGCAGGTCCGTGACAGAACACCACAGCACATCAGACTATCTCTCGGTTCCCCAACAAATTTTTCCCACCTCATAAACTTTCGTGCCCAGGGTGTTCTTGACAACATGTGTCTACAGTCATGGAGGTCGACCCCTGCCTTTTCTTCCAGTTAATTGTTCTCTATAAATCAGTATTTCAACTTGTGAGACATAAGATTGTTGTTGAGCTAGTAACCTTTAATATTCAGATCTTGAAGAATGTCAGTATTTAACAGAATTAGGTGATTTGACTGAGCTAATCCAATAATTACAGTTAAGTGTTAAAGATCATTACATGCAAGAATTCTACCATTAAAATAACAAAACTGCAGTATTAGAAGAACAGTCTTCCGAAATGTACAGTTAAAGTCAGAGGTACTATTTCGAGGACAAACAAAGAATTCAGGTCATGGATGGAGCATCAGATGAGATTTACAACAAAAGCAAAAATATAATGTTATAACACCGTCATATGAACAGCATGTGTACATGCTACACAGAATCACTTTTAAAAAACCTGTGTCAATCAATTTTAAATAATTAGTACCTGAAAAAAAAGGAAAAGACATAATTTGGCACCATGATGCATCTTAGAGACATAGTGATAGCCCCATAGCTTACAATGCGTTTACAAGCAGGTAAATCAATAGAAGCCATTTGTTGTGTTTTACATAATAATCATCAGTACTATGGGCAACCTGAATGCTTTGAAAGAGGCCAAAGGGCAAAGAAAGTTGCAATAGACATTATAAAAAAACGTTCATACGATTTGGCCACACTATAAGAAGAAAATAATATATACCTGTAACAGTTGAAATAACTAATGAAAATGAGATACTGGAATAATTGGGTGGAAAAGGTGGAGGATTGGGGGGGGGGGGATGGGGGGGGGGGGGGGGGGGAGGGGGGGGGGGGGAGAAGAAGAAGTATATAGTACAATCTTTCATGATGACAGCAGCTAAATAAATGGTAAAAACTGCTGGAAATTTTAGTTGTGAAAATGTATGATTGCCCATTTCAGTCTGGTAATGCACCTGACGATGATTTCAATGAGAAACTGAAATTGGCATATTGAATCTTTAATTAAGAATCTACATCATAGCATTCAGAACACTCCCATAAGTGCTGAGTCCCCCATCTTCAGCAGCAAACAAAGAGTTCCAATTCTGATGGCAACAGTAACTGTCTGATTTTATATCTGTCTTCGCCTTTTCCTTGAGTGTTGAGCATCGGCCAGATCCCCTGGCAACTCCTCGCTGAGCTATTCTTCTCAGACCGTAATGATCTATTTGCGCTTCCGCACTGTTCACTTGTCAAACATCAGTTCATCACCAAGTGGCGCAGAACCAGCCAGTCTATCTGCCTGCTCATTTCTGAAGTGATGCTTGCCACTCTGCACCGAGCATACCTGTCTCCACCTTTCTCAACATGCTCTCAGTGAGACAGTTACAATCACAGCATGTGTGTACAGGTGATTTTTAATGCAGAGGTTTGCAGCAGTGACAGCTTCCACCTCCATTCTCAAACTAGACGTTGTGATATTAAATGCCAGGCTTTGTTTTACTAAGCGACGTCCAATTGCTTTTGCTAAGATCCCCCATGCCTTTCATCTGCCCCTCAACACAGAGTCATTTGAATAGATAATTACATCACTTGGCGGGAATTGCCATGAATCATTTGTTGAACTTCTGATTCTGCAGCACCAGATGGCCAGTCCATGTACTCCCGACCCAAAGTGATAAGAACCATACACCAGTCTAAAACGTTGACCCCCTCCTTACCTCGCACAAATTTATCAAGCCTGAAATTGGCACAGATCATTTAAACACATATTTACTAAATTTACCACAGATTCAGTAAATTTGAGATTTTCAAAGTAACTTTTTTTTTAAAAACGAAACTTATCAAAGTTTTACTGAATTTTGTTCCTCGTAAATTAACAAAAGCTAATTTACTAAACTGAAAATTCTGACTGCTTAACTGCCTTAGAGATAATTTTAAAATCAATTTTTTTTTCTTTTAAATTAATCAAATTTGGTGTGGCTGGTGTTTTCATATATTTTGGGAGTGGGAGGAACAGAACTCAATACATTAAAAAACAAATAGATGATGTTTTAGAACAGGGTTGACTTATTATGACAGAAATTAAAACTGTCCACACACACACACACAAACAAAGACCAGAATATGCATGGAAGATTTATAATTTAGTAGCATACAGAGGCATAAATAACGTCTGGTTATTTTCAGATTGAGCCTAGAGACAATTATAAGCAAAGTAAGAGATAAAATCTAGAATACAATTTGGAAAAAAAGGTATACTACCCTACAATATTTCCTAAAATCAAGAATAATCAGGTTGACATTTCATGTGATGACAAAAAAAAATTGTCCAGAATATGCACATGCTGTCTTCCTATATCTCTTTTTTCATAGATCTTTCCAGTGGCCACAACACATTCCGTTTTTTTTCATAACATGATCATAAAAAAATATGACTGTCTCTTTGTGATGTTTGTGATAAGCTGTCTTCAGGCCTTTCCCTCTCTTTCAAAACATGTGTTGCTCCCCCCCCCCCCCCCCCCCCCCCCCAATGAATGTTAAGAATTATTTTATAAAACTTCTTCTCCAAGGGCTCTCTTCTCCATCATTAGGGCTCTGTTTAAAATATATCTGGAAATTGGTTTGTTTATCATTAGTCACAACCATATGTTCAAACTGCCTCTATATAGCTCTGGAAATTATCTGGTTTGTTTATCATGAGTCACAACCATATGTTCAAACTGCCTCTATATAGCATGTGAGATGTCTTTTTCTAATCTACAATGTCGTGGATTTGATGTATAAGATCTTCTTTTATAAAATGCTCTTTTTGCTGTACTATTTTTTTTTTAAATCTCTGTGATACATCTTCTATCTGATGATATCCATACGCCGAGATTTAAATTTCTGTACTTGTAACACCAAGACCACAACTATTATAACACTGACAAGACTAATTTCTGAAATGGCTCTGAGACCTGGAGTAGAACTCAAACATTCAGAAGCTTTATAACAGACGTTTGAGAACAGAGACTTCAGATAAATCTTTGAACCCATCAAAAAATGCTAACAGCAGAGAATGGAGAGTGAGAAGCACTAACACAATTTATCATCTGTTTAAATCACCATTAATTATTGGCATTAGGAGAGCTCATATACTTTGGGGAATTTGAGAGAATAACAGATGACATAGACAAAAACTGAATGGATGTAGACCATGAGGCAGACCTATACAATTTGGAGTCATTAAATGTCACAGAGGGAATGGAGGTTGGTGATATATGTAGTTATGAACATCAAGGGCTCAGAATGATGAAGAAGAAGATGAACTAATTACTGATGATACAGACAGCAGATAAGTAACACATTTATACTGGAAACAAAAACCAATCTTATCAATTAAAAGAGAGGTGTGAGAAGGGTTGTGTAATATCACTATACGTGTACATTATTTATAACAAGAACATACAAACAGACTAAAAGCAAATCTATATTTAACACTGGAGAAAAATCTGTTAAAGGATATAAGAACAAAAGATCTATTAATTATAAAATTGTAATGGCTGAAAATGAGCACTTGATAATGATCAGTATATTACCAAATGCTGTAAAGACTTTTCTTGTAACTCCTGTTGATAGGTACTCCTTGTTGCGCAAAGAATCAGCCAGCCATCCTCCTATATTAATCACTGCCCAAAATGCAATGTATGGTAATGCAGATACAAAACCATTCTGAAATAATTATAACATCATAATCAATGCTGAGTCCACACAAGAAATCAGTAATATGCTGCAGTTGGTTCTGCAACATCATGTAAAAGGATACACAACAAACGTTTTTTTAATATAGCGCAACAAAGCATGGCATATGATATCACAACATCTAGTTTGAGAATGGTGGTAGAGGCGGTCACTGCAGCCTTCCATTGGTTTGAGAATCAGCTGCACACACACACACACACACACACACACATGGTGTGATTGTAACTGATTCACAAAGCAGGCTGAGAAAGATGGTGACAGCTATGCTTCATGAAGAGTGGAAGACATTGCTTCAAAGTCAAGGGTACTTAGCCTTTCCAGGGCATGCAGGTGTGTCAGGAACCAAACAGGCGGACAGACTCACTAGCTTTGCACCACTTGGTTGTAAATCTGTGCATAACAAGCTAGATGTTGTCAAAGCTTTTTGGGAAGGAGTGAACAGGGTGGAGGCATACTTAGATTATCAGGGTCTAAATAAATGGTGCAATGGGGAGTGACTAGGGGATCTGGCCATCACTCCACACTAAAAGGAAAGACTAAACGCACTTACAGTCAAACTGCTTTTGGTGATATTAGAGTTGGAACTTCGCTGACTGCTGAGAATGGGGATGGGGTGCTTATTGGAATGTTCCAAGTGCTATGATGTAAGTTCTTAAAAATTAACTTAATTCAACTCTGCTATCCTCCTCAACAAAGTAAAAAGAAATTTTGTGTTGGCTCATAATTAAACTTTGCTTTCCTGTAGTTTTCTTGTTTTGCTTCATTAATTCTGCTTTTCTTGCAGTCTGATCATGGTTTCAGATTCATAGTCATCACTTGGTTCTCACAAACAACTTACTTCTTGTATATCAGCCTAGTCCTACTGGCCATCCACAGTGGCCTTACCTGCAAGACTACCAGCTTGTTCATTTCCTGTTATACCTGCATGCCCTAGCAAGAAAATAAAACTAAACTGTTTCAGTCATGACTGCCTTAGAGTCTTGAATCACTGTCTTTGGGCCCATCCCATTTCTATTTTCCTGAGTGGGTAAAAAGTTACTCATTCTAAGTTTTTCATTTAAAGCCAGAGTGTAGATCTGTAAAATGGATGGACATGAAAAGCTAAGGTTCTGGAAGAAGTGTCAAAAATTTAAAAAAATGGACAAACAAAGATCATTCACAGAATGAACAACAATTTTCAAAGGGTTACAAATTGGGCCTGCAGGCCCGTCCTACATTCGGCCCTTCCGAGCACTCATCTTTTAGACCCCAACTGAGAATGCATTCATACACACCAAAAACACACACCCACACACTACATACATACTCACAAAGCATCTGATTATACACAATCACCCAAACATACAAAAACACTCATACATACCAAAGCATCTGATTATACACAAACACCCATATAGCCACAGATGCCCTAACACACTATACAACCCCATATATACACAAGAAATTATTTATACACAATCACCCTTAAAACACACACACATGCACTAACACCCATACATATACTAACACCCATACGTGGACATGCACCTAATCGTACACTATCACCCATCTATACACAGTTACCCATGCACACATAATCACCCATGCATACACACACAATCATCCATACATACACGATCATCCAAACATACAGAGATATCAGAAAAAGATATAAAACCGAACGAAAAGTTTATCAGCGAGCTTCACAATTTAACAAAGATAAACAAAACGTGAACGTTGCAGCTATGGAGCATACATACAGAGATGAATGGAGGTGGGTGATATCTGCAGCAATGAACATCAAGGGCTCAGAATGCAGAAGAAAAAGGTGAAGAATATTAGAATTGTGAAACCACTGTTTGTAACCTATAAGCCAGAGGCGCTGACTAGATAATCACAAAACTTTCAGTTTTTCGTATCTAGAATTTGTTTTCAGTATTTCAGTCCCTATAAGTGATTACATTAAAAAAATACTTTTTCAGATAAAAGGAAGTTAAATTATCAACTGTCAGGGACTGTGCAGAATGAGTTGAGACACCGATAATTTACATTCTCAGTCTTTACCTATGTATATTATTATTTTATTCAGTCCATTTGTATGCACTTTGAGCCCCAAGTCTGTACTTTAAGCCAGTGGTTTACAATTACTATTCCATTATTTTTAAATCAACACACAAAACATCTACTTACAGAAGTTATATCAAATCTGAGCACTTCATTGATGTATGTTGGAATGTTGGTAAGTAAAGTATAGGCTCCCCAGTCTGATGCAACATTGGCTACTATTATTGCCCACACAGGCAGTGACATAAAGATGCTCAGCCAGGGAACTGAAATATGCTTTAAAAAAAAAAGAGCACATGTGCATCGTCAGTATAGTTTCAACACAAGACTGTCAGTGTACCAAGAATGAAATGTCATATGTAACATCTTGAACTAGATATTATAACTAAATAATGCCCAGACAAATAATGTCACCAACTTAACCATCCGAGGCAAAGTTAGAAATGATATTCTCAGACAGACTGTGGGAACAACACCAGGCTGAAAATTCATTGAGAAACAGAAGATCAAATGGTTTGGTCATTCAGTAAGGATGCAGCCGCAACAACTACCAACGCAGGTGCTACACAAGAAAGGATCTGAAGTGAGAGCAAGAGACTGCCTTAGAAGAACATGTTAATAAAGTAACAGAAAATGTATTGATTGGCACTCATAGAAAGAAGTAGAAAGATAGAAGAACACACTAGACAATATGAAAATCGAAAGCTATAGTTACCGTGCTGGGAATCGAACCTGTAACCATTAGACAGCATGTGCGCCACGCTATGGAAACAAGTGCACTATGAACATGGTCAACTAGACCCCCCCCCAAAAAAAGGTGTCTTATTGGCCATGTCTTTTGTACAGCTTGAAATCCACAACTATGGAATACAGACAGAATTCATTTCAAACCATTGAAATGGCACCACAGGTTTCAGAAATTTATATTAATGAAGCATATGTCGAATAACAAGCACAGCAACAATTTACGAACACAGTAAACCTAAATGCTTTGTCTAAGAGAACATGGACATTTGACATTAAAAAGCTTATACATAAACACGGAATGGCAATATCTACTGCTGCCCACCAAACAATGGATCACTAACTTCAAGTACAAGTTCCTCTCCACAATGCTTCATGGCAAAAATGAAAATTGATGATGATGATGATAAATGCCCAACAGCATTGTGTACATTCACATATATAAAAATTGTTTCAGAATATCACCGTCGACAATGAGGTGAGCAAAAGGATCTCTGAAGCCAGCTGCACATTTGGCAGGTTATACACGAATGTCTGGCATCGTAGTGGCATCAGTCTGCAAACCAAACTGAAGGTTTACAGAGCTGCAGCACTTCCAGTGCTCCTGCATGCCTGTGAAACTTGGACTGTATGCAGACGTCACGTAAAAAACTCAACCACTTCCATACAGTCTGCATGAGAAAGATACTGAACATAAAGTAGCAAGACATGGTCCCGGACACTGGACAGGGCTGGCATTCTGTTACAGATTCCATGGGTTGGCCATTTTGTTCAAATTCCTGATCATCGGCTCCCAAAAAATAATCTTCTGTGGTGAGATACGTGAAGGTCGACAATCTCATAAGAGCCAGAAAAAGCGCTTCAAGGACACACTAAAGGCATCACTGAAAGCTTTCAGTATAAACCCTGACACCTGGGAGACTGCAGCACAAGACCAAACTTTATGGTGCACACATATCTGAAATGGTGCAATGATCTGCCAGGCATCCAGAACAAGGGCAGCTGAACAGTAGAGACAGACCAGAAAAAAACGTCAAACAGGCCCTTTGTCTTCAGACACTGTGCCCTGTCCTCATTGTCCTAGACTCTTCTGGGCACATATTGGACTTGTAAGTCACCTCTGGACTCATAAACATTCAACTGCTGTTTCATGGCAGATGAAAGAAAGAGTGGTCCTAATCACTTGTGATGAACAAAATAAAAAACATAAAAAATACCAACCAGATTACATCCTTCCTAACTGCCCAGAATTTATTAGATGGACAACAAAATTTATGACTGCAAGAACAATCCATACAAGACAGACCTAGAGTGACTGGAAATATCACCCGCCCCCAACCCAGCAGACTGCACATGACCCATGTCTGAACAGATGCATCACAAAGAAGCAGATATACAAATTTCAAAGGGAATTAAATTGAAAACCACCACAAATATATTCATATTCCCAGAGACATTTATTCTCTGTCATCTAAGTCTATGTTTGGATATCCTGAACAAAGGTTAGTGGTTTCTTAAATATCTGCATATAAGGTAATTCTGGTGTAGATAGCCACTGTGATGTAGCAGCTAGACACTTGCCCAAGGATCTGAATGTCATGGGTTCAAATCCACACAAAGCCGGATTTTTTCATAGATGGCTTTGGTTCCCAGAGCTGAACTAGCCTTAAATGTGTACCGAGTAGTCCTGAGAAGTCAAGGTGGTCAGTGTCATGTTGACCACATCACCTGTCAAGGACTAACTAGTCTTTAAAAAAAAATTTAAACTGGAGTCTAGCTGATGCTCCACTGGTGCAGAAAGGGACCTTACCTTTATAAAAAAAAAACTAATTTGGGTGTGCATGTGTTAACGAACAAATCCCATCACAGAGAGGTAATATTTGTGAGCTGAGTAGCAAGTTGTATTACCAAATTATACAGAATCGATTCACAGTAGTAATTATTTTTCTTTATTGACCAGTATAGCTACAGACTATACCCAACATTGTAAAACAGCTGCCAGATAATATTCAGAATATTCTAGAATTTTCTATAGCTCACCCACATAATTTGCGTACAACATTGAAGGAACATGTCCCACTTGCTATTTTGCCAAGTTTAGTTTGGTAGACAAAATAAGTGCAACATTGGGTGGCTGCCTCTCACTATGATATACTAAATATATATATATATATATATATATATATATGATACCCACACACTCGTGTTCTACCATGTTTATTACCATATGCTAATGCAGTGACTTTGTTTTTATAATGTAAAAGAGTGTCTACAAAATGTGGCTGGGCAACAAAATTAATGAATATGACACACTTTGTAACAAGAATGATAAAACAGACAAGAAAATACCTTCTTGTCTGACACTCTGCTGGTTTTCAAAGAGGACATGATGTACTCCTTCTCAATGTGTGAGATTCTTTTATGATTTGCTGGATCATCACTGACAAGAAGTATCCAAAAGATGGTCCAAATAAAGCAAACAACTCCTGAGGAAGTTGGAATATTCTTTATAAGAACTTTACACATCGCACAGCTTTTTTGTTTTTTTTTAAATAACTTGCACTAGGTCATTCAGTGTCTTTCCCTACAGCTGAATAGTGTCAGTTTGTACAGAATGTTTATTACTCACTTTAAACAGATATCAAAGATGCTAACATACAATTTAAAAAAAAAAAGGCTCACTTATGGAGAATTTTAAAACTGTTTCAAATTATAGGTAGCTACTATTACAATAACTAATGCTCAGTTACTAAGAACAGTTTTCACAAAACTAAAGATGCAAATGACAAAATTCACCTGTGACATAAAACACAGATGGCCACCCTCCAGCAAACCCATATTTGCATAGGACACCTGACAAAGGGAATGTGATTACTATGCCAACCTGAGCTCCTGAAAAAAAAAATTAAAAGTTATTTAGTGATGGCAATGTATCATACTTTATTTGATTAGGAAATGTTGGTATATCCTGGTAACTTTTTATCAACCGAAGATTACATTCTACAGTTCCTAAGAGTACTTTTCTGCAGTTTCTCATGCATTTACAGAATTTTTTTACTTTACCTCACATTCGAGACATGTCAAAGTCCTAACCTAAGTTTAACCTGCCTGAAGTAGAAAATATAGAGCAATGGCAATAATTTTATTTGATAGGAAGGAATATTATCTATACAAATTCAATTTTTAAACAGAATTATCTTAAGTTTTCAAACTGAAATGAAACTAACACAGGATGTGTCATCTGGCAAGAAGAGTATAACAGACTGCCAAGACCATGAGTGAATTGTTCCCACTCATAGACAGCAAGTTTCATTGGCAACTATACTGTGAGTGAATGAGAAGTGAACATCAAACCATTTTTTATTTACTGCATAATGAAGAGATGACTTAAACAGTGGCATTGTGTCAAATTTTGAAAAATGTTTGGTAATGCGTAAATGAAAACCTTTAAAAAATTCAACAGGATGTCATAAGAAAAATACAAATAAATGAATTGTAAAGGATAGCCCCACACTGATGGAGAGTGGACTATTAAGTTCCAAACAAGACAAAATTGCAAGGTTATCGATCGAGTGCTCTATGGTCTTGCATAACTGTCAAGTCATCATCAAAAATATGAAGTAAAGGTAAAGGTAAAGTCAGGAGATGTGAACCAGCATCATTGCACACGGTTAAAAACCATAATTGCTCTGCCACCAGTACGGACAGCTGATAAGAACTGTCCGCCTGTGTCGCCGTTTGCACGTAACTCTGTAGCTACAGCGACGTTCCTCCATTTACCCCAAAGTATCACTCTGGTACCAATTTCCTAGAGGCTAGGTGAACCCCAGGAGCCGCCCGGTTTCAAACACCGACCGTGGCTGCAGTGAGTCACAGCTGGATTTGAAAGCGAGCTTCTTATCAACTGCGCTAGCGTGGCCGCCATAGAAAAAAAAAACATATGAATTAGGTGGGGATAAGTGTAGCCTATGAACACATAATGTTATGTTATCACAACTGATGTCACTCCACAATGGGCATCTCCAAAATCAACTGTTTTTGCAGGCACAGTTGTTAACTAAAGTGAAAGGTTTATTTCCATCTACCTTCACTGGGTGCACCTGGGTGTCACTGTTGTTCCATGCGCTTGTGTCCACGGCTGAGGATTTTATCCCACAACTGACTAGTACATCTGACTAAGGTGTTTACTGTTGTAACAGCACTGGAAGCCTGAAACTTGTAGAACTTCATTTGCATTTAATCCAGTCTCCTGCAGTGCAAACATTTTGGCACCATGTGTTTCTTTCTTTAAGCACAACAGCAGTTCCGGCATAGAATGCAGAGATAACTTTTTTCGATTGGTTTCTTTGTGCACCAGCACATCTGCTGCATCATCTTCTACCACTCTTGTCATTTCCTTCTACTGTGCCATGCAGATGTCGCCAAATTGGATCTCAGCGTAGATAGACAAACTCTGTAACACCAGTGAGTATCTTCATTTTCACTATATTGAGTGGGTCTGAAATTTGTGCTAAAGCTGTTAGCAATATACAACAGAAACAGCTTCATCTGGAAGTCAAGCTGGACGTGTAAGATGCACAATAGGCTGATATGAACTTCCTGAGTGCTGTGATCTCTTCACAGCGATATACCATTAAGAACCCCCCCCCCCCCCCCCCCCCTGCTGCCTTGTAGGGTAGGTACACCTGTTCAGATTAACGCTATTAAAGTCCCACTATTTACAGATCGGCAGAAGGAAAGAGGAAGCAGCGCTGTATTTTTGCTAGTAACCATTTAAACAAACTGCATTCATCAGATAACATCAAACTGGAAGAAACTAAGGCTTTGGGAAATTTTTTGAATTAAAAGAATATTTAAAAAAAATGTTTCTGACATTGCTAATAGTAAGTATGTTTCTAATGATCTATTAAATCCACATGCATTGCTCTTTTAAAAAAACCTGGCACTCTAAAATGTGAAGACCATTACACTAAGGTCTTATCAGTCATGTGACAAAGATGTCACTGAGGATAAAAGTGAGGAGAATAAGAAATTAACCACCACAGCAGATAAGGGAGACCAGTAACCAGGGAGTCAGACCACAAGGATGACCTGGTGTTTGCTGGGAAGACAACATCCGACAGTCCCTGACTAAGAGAGGACTCGAATGGAAAAAAACTAGAAAGAAAACTGCTGATAGAAAAGTATTGTGATTTCTTTGACAATCTCTACATCCCAAGGTAGAGAGCAGCAACTAAGTAAAGTAAAACAAATGCCACATACATTCTTTGTTCAGTATGAGTGTTCCTTTAGCTATCACTTTAGTAGACAAAAAAAACACAACAATTTTTTTCATTTCCTCACTCTCCTGCATGACCCGGACAGTATATCCACGGAGTCCCTGTAATGCTGACATGCTGAAGCCTGGTATCCACTCATGCCACATTTGTCCATTTTGAACTTTCTGCAGAACCAACTGAAAATCAGTCACTATAATTCCTCTGGTTGCGCTACTTTCTGCACATGTTTCACTGACTATAAGAAAGCATCTGACTGCATAAAACCTGAAGAACTAATAAAACTACTAGAAAAATTAAACACAGATGGGAAAGATCTACAAATAATAAGGGACAAGCACTAAAAGCAAACAGAAGCTATAATAATTAACAACTATTTAGGAACATTTCAAAGCATAAAGAAAGGTGTACAAGGATGTTTACAGTTATTTGATTTGTTTTAATTACACAGTGTATGTATGTATGTATGTATGTATGTATGTATGTATGTATGTATGTATGTATGTATGTATGTATGTATGTATGTATGTATGTATGTATGTATGTATGTATGTATGTATGTATGTATGTATGTATGTATGTATGTATGTGTGTGTGTGTGTGTGTGTGTGTGTGTGATTGTATGTATGTATGTATGTATGTATGTATGTATGTATGTATGTATGTATGTATGTATGTATGTATGTATGTATGTATTTATGTATGTATGTGTGTGTATAACTATATATTAAAAAAGTAAAGATCCCTTTTCACGCCTTAGACGCATCGGGCATATGGGAATAGCATCCCATATTTTTACAGACCAATCGGCACTGGTTGAGTAATGTAGTCAGCATTACGCCGGTTGTTTTTACTTCCCCATGACATATATATATATATATATATATATATATATATATATATATATATATATATATATATATATATATATATATATATATATATATATATACATATATATATATATATATATATATATATATATATATATATATATATATATATATATATATATATATATATATATATATATATATATATATATATATGCATACGCCAGGCAGTGTGGGTGGTGGTCATACCATAACATAGGCTATGCTGATGAGACTGTATTGATAGGGACAAGTCAGAAAGAATTACCTAGATTGACATTGATAGAATGGACCTCAGCTTGAATAATAGGAAGTCAGAATTAATGGTAATATTAAAGAAAAGAACAGAGTCAAAGTGTCTGGTATTGAAACGTGTGTGCTGCAATTGATCTCGAGGATGTGTACAACAGAGTACCTTCAGATTTCTTAATGACTCAGCTTCTTAAACTCCAAATAAGTCCATTTCTGCTTCATTGGATCTCTTCCGCCCTCTTCCAACAAAAAATAGTGTTTAGGTGTGGCAGTTGGACTTCTGAACCAACAACAATACGTCCAGGCCTGCCACATGGATCGCCATTATCTCCTGTGTTGTTCAACGTTTACACATTGAGAATCACAAGCAAGCAAATCACAAGACCCGAAAGAACACTGTCATATGCTAATGATGTGTAAATGTATCGTCAGGGCAAGGGATGAGAGAAAAAGTTGCTGAAGAACTACAAAAAGAGCTCAATCGCATAAGCACTTGGTGTGGTGAAGCTGGTGCACTGGTCAACCCAACGAAGGTGGCAGTGACATGGTTCTCTTTGAATAACCATATTGTGAAAACTCCAACAGCAGTTGTTTGTCTGTGTTCTGAGGTTGTGGAAAGAACGCATGAAATGAAATACTTGGGGAAACAGTTTGATCGAAGCTTTGCTTATATTGAATTCTTAGAATTCCTTGGACGGCCATAAAGAGCATGTCTGGAAAGAGGCAACAACTTATCACAAACATCAGAAAGAGACAGACATAATTTTTTTGGTATCATGTTAGGAGAAGAAGGAAACTGAAATTGTGACCAGTGGAAATATCTGTGGAAAAAGAGACAGAGGAAGACAACATGAGATTATTACAACCTTTTGTCATGACAGTGAGGGGTGTCAGCACTTGCTGTTGAAGATCACAGATTGTGGAAAGGCATGACTGCCCAGGTCAGTTGGCAAAGCACTTGATAATTACGGTGGTGAACATTTCAAGGAAAAGAAATGATCTTTAGCTTCTAATAATACTGTACACACAGGTAAAAAAAAAACTTACCAGCATAGGTAAAGGTTATTAACTTTGTTCTCTCAAGTGGTGGTGCCCATTTACCCCAGATTGTGTGCATGGCTGGAAATGTCATGCCCTGGCATTAAGAAGTTCAAGATGTGTATATAACATGTTAATGTTTTAAATACTTTTTTAATTATTACTGGTTTCCTGGAGAAGATAAACAGTGATAGAGAAGATTTATTACTTGAAAAAAAAAAATTTGAGTTACTGCACACAAGAACCAGTATAATTCTTCTTCTCTTCTTCTTTTCTTCCACCATTTACCTCAGCAAGTTGTTAGGCGAAGATGTGAGGATCATTTGTGCACTTTTTCCAATGCATTGTACAAGTTGGTGTTTATTTCTATAAGGTTGCTCCTGATGATATCGCTCCATCTCTTGCATGGTCTTCCCCTTGCTCTGTGTTCATTATATTTCTTCAGCTTAGCTCTCTGTGGCATTTGGTATCAGGGCATTCTATTCAGGTGTCCAAACCATCTCATTTGTTGTTCTTTAATGAACTGTATGACTGGTTGCAGTCCTAGTCTTCTAAATGCTTCATTCCTGATTTTATCTCTTCTTGTCACACCAGCAGCTCTCCTAAGACATCTCATTTCTGTTGTTACGATCTTCCGCTAATTAAAAAGCATAATAAGATTTAATATTTAAGTCTCTTTCAGCACATTTATTTCTTGAAGATACAATTTACAATATCCTTAATTCACCTGATAAATGTATCCCTGCAAGAGTTCTGATTCTTTCTCTGTTTTGAAAGATCTAGGCAATTTATAATTGGAGCTAAAAATCCAAACTGATACGAAATGATAATAGCCAGTGCTAACTATTGAGCAATGGATCACAAAATGTTCCTGCCCATAACCACTTAACAGCAAAGGTGGAAACTAATAATGACTAAAGTACGAGCAGAGTGTAAGGAAATGCTGTGTAATCTTTAAACTTATTTATTTCCAAATCTACAATTATTGATGATGATCAATACAATAATATTTAACAACTGTTCAAAAAAAAAAAATTCAATTATAATAAATATATTTTAAACATACAGTGTAGAAATTATCATTATCTATTATCCATTTGAGTACACTGCCAAATCTACCCCAATGCCAGTCCCAAGCCCAGATGTAAAGAGGAGGGTTTGTGCATGTGGTCAGCTCAAGATTGTTTTCATAGCTACAGAGACTCGCAGAAAAGGACACCCTTCCGGTCAACAGAACAACCAAGCTGTGTGCGGCGCACTGGGTGGATAAATGAGAGTTACTGATAAAAGCCGCTTTGCAGAAGTTAGTAACTCGGTTCACACATTGCTGATTTTAAAACAAGCACTAAAACTGGTTTATGGAACATCAAAGCCATGGAAGAAACAACAAAAAGCCCAGGTGACAGAAGACGGTTTGAAGACTGATGATTTGAACAATTGATCAACATCATGGCACAAGGGTAGTAACCCATAAGTGCTCCATTCTACTTCTAACTCAAGCCTGATTCTGAAGAATCTTAGCATGGTGCCCGAACTCCATTGATTGGGCATAGATTGGGTAGAGACTAGACAACTGGAATATCTGGATTTCACAGATGATGATGTTTTGTTATGCAAAAATAACAAGACATGCAAAGAAAAACCGATAATTTGTTATCTACAGCATCAAAAAATAGGACTACCAATAACTTTTTTTGAAAAAAAAAAACATTTATTAAATATAACTAACAAAAGATCATGTAGATATCATGCTGAAGAAAAAAAAAATTACAGATAATTTCACCTGTTTGGGAAACAATGTTGACTTATAAGAGGAGATATAATGAAGGAAATTATGATACACACTGGCAAAAGCAACAATAGTCTTTAAAGGCCTTTACCAACTATGGAGCTCCAGGTTATACAGCTTTGAGACCAAACTGAATCTTCAGTTGTAATATTATTTCAATTCTAACATATGCCATTTTGTTTAATTATGTAGATTTCACAATTTATGTCTAGGAGACTGGATGGAGTTTGAGTTTACTGGACATCCAATAGAAAGAGAGTGACTGCATCAACAAATGTTGAAGCAGAGCCTCACTGCAGCATCCTGGCCAATTTTTTTTTATTTTAAAATCTGAAAACCTGTTGGTGACTATATGGTAGAAGACAGCATTAATGTCACCATAAAAGATTCATCACCTCTTATCAGCAAAACAGACTAATTTCAAAACTTAAATTCATATTTCATGATCTTATCCGTAAAATCACCCATCACGATCAACCTCTCATTACTGTCTATCTTACAAATTTCGTCATCCAGGTCCTCAAAGAATTGATCTAAATTCTCCCCACTGTAATTTCCATTGCATGGAGCATATATTTGACCCCCCAAAAATCCGAACTATTTTCTACTTGTAATTTCAAGCTTAGAATTCTTTCCGAGATGTAGTTAACCTAGGGTATATTTTTTGCAGTTTCAGGATCGATGATGAATCCTACTCCATGCTTTGCACGTTGTATTTACTCTACCCCCAATTGTATCAAATTACTGCTTTCTTGCAGTTAAACATAAAAACACTGAGACATAAACAGTTTAAAATTACTAGTCTTCCAAGTGTACATTCATTTATGAAGCATCTAAATTGGATTCTAGTTAAGACAGCATGAGAAGCAAAGTTCAATTAAACGAACTGTAATGTAATGGGCTGAATAGGATAACATTGTTTAAAATACTAGTAGGGTAGGTGGGAGCAAAGCCCTGCAGTTTCATGTTTTTTAAAGATTTATGGAAAATCGTTTGTATGTATTATATGAAACTTTATGAGGATATAGCTTAGCCATTTACCTGCCATGTAAGTAACAGCTGAGTGTATTGTTATTAATACTCAAAATAATTGCATTTTTAGGGGCATCTATACGTTGTGGGTCTTTGACCCAGTAATGGGGCAAAGACCAGCAACCACAGGTCTTTGTCCCATTTGTAAAATTAATTACAGTAGACTGGAATAGCACTGTAAAATCATTGTTTATTTAATAAATTAAAAAATAACTAAAGTCATTTGTAAAGCTTATAATATTTTAAATAAAAGCGAGCTTAAATTGCTAAAAATCTGATTTGAGAGTTTCAAAATAATGTCTTCCTTTTCAAAATAGGACTTTTATTTTGTTTCTAAAAAATTTTGGGTTAGAACGGTTCACTTGTAGAAGATACCATCATATCCCCCATTGTCACAATCAATCATTTTAACCACGTACAACCTAAAAGAGTTTTTTGCCTTCCCGTGCACCTTGATGACAGCCCAGGTGATGTTATTATCTATACCGATGGCTCTGTGTTGAAAGGCAAAAGAAGTGAATAGGGGTTCATTCCAAAAACTTTCCTTATAATGTACTTTATGCCAAGATGAAACAAAAAGCAACAGTATTAACAAAGATATGATCTTAACAGTCAAAATAAATTTAAAGAAAAACACTTATCTTAAAATTAGTCAGGTTTTGGTGATACATGACCCAAAAAAATAGTGACTTCAAGTAGCCAATAGTTCAACTTACAGTGACAATTCCAAGTATAACACGTATTGCTATGAGACTTGCGTAGTGGACATCTGCCAGCACTGGGGTAAGAACAGTAGCAACAGAAGCAATTAGCATGGTAATGGCAAATACCCACTTCCCACCAAATCTGGTGGCAATCCAACCGGCAGGCACCTGGCCAACCAGATAACCCCAGAAGAATGATCCAAGTATGGTCCCTTGAATGGTCTTGTCCCATTCTAAGTATCCACCCTACAAATAAATATTCAGATCAATGAGTGTATTGATGATAATCAAATCTGTATGCTATTTATACAAACTAGAATACATTTCTTAAACTGGAAATTATACATGAGGAGGTTTAATATTAAATCAGTACATTGGCATGGCTCTAAAACATGGTAATACTAATAAAATGAACAGATTTTTATAAACAAGCACACATGTTGAATGGAATATAATAAAGGATTAAAGTTTATAGATGGTGATTTAGAACAGACACCCATGTATACTTGTGAAGAATATTAATAGAAAAAAAAAAAAAGACATTATGTTTGATATGACAAAGAATGAACAGATACACTGCACACAGATGTGATAACTGTGGTTTTAAGCATGATAAATTAATGGAAACAATAAACACAAATGGTTCAGCACCTAGAAGTCTGATTTTATTGTTGCATTTATAACCATAATATCCCTTATGAATGATGATTGGGATGTATAATGTCTAAAGTAATTTAAGACTATGTGCGTTTATGACTTTTAGACAATTGTTTGTGTTTTGTGCCTTTAACAAATGATCTGATTCAGTTTGATTCAATATCAATGTGCATACTTCTTCTGTAGTTCTAAATGATGTTTTAATGGTATCTGTACTCAGAGTTTTTGTACTTGTAGTAAAATACATAGAGTACTTAATGACTTGAGGCACATACAGCATATGAATATAGTTCCATATTTTATAGATGAATCAGCATTCAGGTGATTAAGTTAACATCACACTAGCTACCTTTACTTCTATTAACATTTTCTGGTACCCTTTATAGGTATGGTCCAGATGGAAGACCAGGTCAATTATTTAAAATGAAAATTCAAACTTATTATCACCAGGCAGGCGGACACGCATTATAACCACTGAACCACTTGGCACAATTATTTTGATTTACTCTGCCTATATAGCTGCTTGGTCTACTTTTTTTTCTTCATGTCTAAATTTGCTATTAGCTACACCATCAGTACTGATTACCCTCTGGTGTTCAGATGGTTATATCTGACGTGTGCTGAAAACAGGGTTGAATCTAGTTGCACTAGTTGAACTTTATTCCAGACATGCTTATAACATTCCTCTTATCATAAAGTAGCTTATCACCCATAGGGTAGCAGCCAAACTGTCAGCCTGCTGATTACCCAGAATACCCAGAAACATCAAACTGTCCTGGGAGAGAAAACCAATGATATGTTCCTGACACAAGCCACTCTACAGAGGACGCAGTCACTATTTTTCAAAGAATGCTCTATGAGTCCATTACAACTACATGTCGGAGTGTACTACTCTCCAGCTATTGGAAAGCTGCAATTAGCTCATCAACCTTAAATCTCATTTTAATGTTGTGACATTATTTATGTGGCTCTCCTCCTTTAAACAAAGTCTAGACCCCACCAACTCTTTTTTGTTTACCTCTCACTGCAGATCCATCTATGTATATAATGATACCACCTGAGCATGAATTGTTATGAATCAGCTTTTTCCTATTGCCTCTGTTTCACCAGCTATCCACTGTTGACACTCTTGGTCTAAGGTACCATATGTTAAAACTGATTCTTCACCATCCAGCAATTAAATTATTCATTATGGCCAAGACAAAAAATGTTATCCCTGAGCCAAAGTATGTCATCCAAGCAAGCAACATTTGTCTACGATTTGGTAAAATTGTAATGCAGTCAAATCGGCAAAAGACAAGTAACCCACTATGTATGTTTTAGTGAGAAATGCAGTTATATATGTGATACGAAGTAAAGAAAAAATAAATGAAGCATTAAACTTGAAAAAAATATGCTACTGAGACATTGTAATTGATGGGTCAAGTTTAAGGGGATCAATGTTTATCTCATGCATGGATATTCAGGTACTATACATTCAAAACTGGTGGGCAAATGACTGAAGATGAAGCTAGGCAATGAAGTCCTATTTCTGTTCATAATTTAAAAAAAACTCAAAAGGATACTTGAAGATTACAGTCTGTGCGGATAATGTTAGATGAGTCTGATATTAATCAAGAGACTATGTCTCCTGCTCTATTTAATAGATAGCTATAATGTAGCGCTATCAAGACATATTAAATAATGTACGAATATTGTGATAGATGACAGGTACGAAGCGTACAGAAGAGCTTGCAAACAGAAAAATTTGCCACAAGGTAAGTTTCCAGTAGAGATTTTCGAAATCCTCTCTTGGACCGGCACAGATCAGAGCCGGACTTGTGTAAATGGTTCAAACTTCTGTTTGTGTCAGACTGTGATGTGACATACTGAATCCTTGCCAGGGGTAAGTGAAGTACCATCAGCTAAATTAATCTGCTTACTGTCACTATAGCTATTTGTCAACCATCCATACAAGTCATTTTGTCTGTGGATTCTTTTGGAAAAACGTGCAATCCAGTGTAAGTCATTGTATGAACTCATCAACAGTATTCACATTACCTTGTAGTGTAAACCCATGTGGTCGAATCTGAAATATCTGGTGATGTATGACTGTGTGTGTGTGAAATATGTAACCAAATAAAAAAGCAGGGAGACTAAAATGGATGACAATCATTCACATATTGTAATAATTCACCACTCTGTGTTACTGAGATTGATATCAGGATAAAAGGCCCTGGTTAATGTACATGGATAAGAAGCTTCACTCAAGTAAGGAACTGCCCCAATAAGCTAATTCTCTATGTCTGATAGAATTGGAACCTACATTACCATCACTGCTGCCCCATGTTCTGTATGTGTGTATGCAAACTTTATGAGGGCTAGCCTCAGTAGGGCATTGTGAAGAGGCACACATTAGGTAGCCGTCTACATGGTGTTTCCAATTTCTTCAGTTCCAGGTGGATATCTTGATTGTCAAGCCCGATCTTAAAGAGTCAACATCCTGTTTGTATGGAAATCAGTGGTGGCTGATTAAGCAGTTGGAAGAAGCCAAAACATCAGTTAAGTGGCATGTCCAGCAACTGTGAAAGAAAATCCAGTCTCAGGTTTTGCTTTGTCCTATGATTCAATATTTTATTTTATTGCAAAAGATTCCATTATTTTGTAATATACTTCTAGTGTTGTGGAATTTACATTAAATGTTTTTGTCAGCAAACACAACCATAGTTTAAGATATCTAAACTTTACCCTAGGGAATCTTTTGTCAGCAGTCACCGAACCATTCTCCTTTAACCAGTTAGAGTGGAAGATAGATTTTAGGAGAAGATTCACAGGCTGTAGTCTTCTATGTATATTGTTTGTTTGGGAGGTCTGTCTTTATAATCCTTTTGGGCTTTTCCTTGTAAAGTCATTCTCTCAGCAGCAGTATATGAGTTCATCAGTGTGTGCAGAGGAAACAGTATATTCTTTAACTCTCTGTAGAGGTGGCACAAAGGTTTCACTTACACAAGTGAACCTGAACTGTGAAAAACTAAAACTTTAGTGGAAGATATAGGCAAGAAAGGAGTTTCTTCCTGGTTCATTCAACATTCTTTGACCGTTGATCAAAATCATGCAACTGTTGAGCATGCAAAAATCATCACTACACTCAACACAGGTTTTAAAAAGGATAAATGAGGGGATGAACCTGACATGTTTACAGCCAGTGAATTACTGGAAGGATCAGCAACTCAACTTTATGACAGTTGTAGAAGGAGACAGAGCATCTCTTGGTTTATCCATAATGCTGTTGAATCTTAAAGCAAGAGCACTGAACTATTTCCACCAATTTCTGTTCTCTGTGATCCTGCTTTCTTATAGTTAAACATAAACATTACTGAGACATAAACAAGTTTAAAATTATGAGTCTTCCAAGTGAACATTCATTTATTAAGCATCTAAATTGGATTCTAGTTAAGACAGCATGAGAAGCAAAGTACAATTAAACGAACTGTGATGTGATGGGCTGAATAGGATAACATTGTTTAAAATACTAGTAGGGTAGGTGGGAGCAAAGACCTGCAGTTTCATGTTTTTTAAAGATTTATGGAGAATGGTTTGTATGTATTATATTAAACTTTATGAGGATATAGCTTAGCCGCTTACCTGCCATGTAAGTAACAGCTGAGTTCGTATTGTTATTAATACTCAAAATAATTGCATTTTCAGGGGCATCTATACGTTGTGGGTCTTTGACCCAGTGATGGGCAAAGGCCCGCAACCACAGGTCTTTGTCCCATTTGTAAAATAAAATTAATGACAGTAGACTGGAATAGCACTGTAAAATCATTGTTTTTTCAAGAAGTTTGAAAAATCACTAAGGTCATTTGTAAAGCTTATAATATTTTAAAAGTGAGCTGAATTGCTGAAAATCGGGTTTGAGAGTTTCAAAATAACGTCTTTCTTTTCAAATTAGGACTCTTATTTTGTTTCTAAAAAACTTTGGGTTAGAACGGTTCACTTGTAAAAGATACCATCATATCCCCCATTGTCACCATCAGTAATTTTAACCACGTACAACCTAAAAGAGTTCTTTGCCTTTCTGTGCACCTTGATGACAGCAAAGTCACCAGGTTGCAGTTCTGAAGTACAATACAATTCCTTTTTTCTCGATGACAAGATGGTCAAGTCAGAGCTCCTATTCTGGATGAAGAAATCTGAATCAGAATCTGTGGCACTCATTGCACAGACTACATTCACCCTTTTATCTTGCTCTGCAGCAACAGACTTTTTTTCCTAGTTGGTGCTATGTGCTTGGATATCCTGCCTGGATCAGTCTGAATCCCTCTTTCATCCATATTTTATATACAGACAGGTATAACTTGTACTGGCGCAGGATGCTTGTAAGGTTATCAAAGTATTGGCCCAGCTGCAGATGATCAAAGCCCATTGTCCTTGCAATGCTTGTCCTCCACAGTGTTCGCAATGACAGTTTCTTTTCATGAAGTAATGTGGAAAATCATTTCTAGCGAACTTTGTTGCAGTGGGAAAGGGATGAGGTTTCTATGATATTTTTTCTGCATAGGAATACAATAGAAACCGCACAGACTTAAGGGTTAATCCAAAAAATCACTGGTCTAAGGCTTTACAATGTTGTTTTTCATGTTCATTGGAAAAGACAGTCTGGAATCAACCCAGCTTTTCTGCTCCAATGCCAGTCTTCAATTTGTTCCGTAGCATTGACTCATGGAAGGTGATCACTTTAGCCGCTTGTCTGATAGAAACAGCCATATCTATTAGAGCCTTTGATTCATTCAGTAAAGATTCAGTGAGTGGTTTCTGGCTTGTCTTCCTTTTGTAATTTCTGGAAATAAATAGCAAAATCAGACTGTAAACAATTGCAGTTGATACGGGGAAACACATTCATGGGGTCAAGACACACATTCATGGGGTCAAGACACACATTCATGGGGTCAAGACACACATTCATGGGGTCAAGACAATTTATGGGGTCAAGACACACACGCCTCACTAGGCTGCAGGTTTTTGCCCATTTTATCATGAGTTCACATTCGCAACTTTCAAGCAGTATGAACTAACTAACCTTGAGAGGTCACCTCTACTTCTGCTGTTAAGATGTGTTATTTTTTGATAAAAAAGACGACTAACAGCTTTGTTGCAAAACTTTTTTTTTTTTTTTGTAAGAGTGCACTGACAAGAATCACAATATTACATTAAAGTTTAAAAAAAAGCAACTTACCTCATTTTCTTGGTGGGTGACAGTAGGATTTGACTGAATTTTGGCAACCCACATGACATCGTCTAATCAGTGAATGCAAAGCTAAAGCCAGCCACAAAAAACAACAACTGGAACATTTTAATGGACTTCATGTTTCTGCCCCATGCAGGTCTTTGCCCCCACATTCCCTACTATATATAAATAATAATATCACACTGTTTGTAATAAAGAAGGTACCATACAACCCCAATTATACGACTCACTACCGCAGATCTTATAAATACACTAATTTAACAATTTGGTACCCTAGGCAAAAGGATGTTTTTTCCTTGCCATAGTTAGTTGTGTATCCTTTTACAGGACATTGCAGAACCAACCCCAGCATTTTTTGTGTGTGTGGCTATTGTGGTTTTTCTAGGCAAGTTTACATCCAGTAGTTTGCCATTGCTTTCTGGAAAGTCAGCTTCTCAATACCACTGTCGAAACCAATGCAAGGCGCAAGGCCCGCAGCTGGAATCGAACCCGGCAAACCAGCGTTAAAAAGCGCGTTCGCAACGCCTAAGCCACAGGCGCCAATTTGTTTCTTACAAATACATAAAATAAGTAATTCATTCAGAAGTTACCAATTCATTTGAGTCTACTGAAGTGTTGTTGGAAGAGGCCTCACATTCAGATGCTACAATATTAGTCATGTTGTCTGATTGTTTTTGAATGGCTGTGTGGTTGACCATACAAACAATAGCCACGCTGAGATTCACTCTCACAGCATATACATTGATGAAACCAAGGAAACCAATAACAGCAAGTCCCAGGCGAGAAGACAGCCAAAATGGTACTGTTGAAAAAAAAAAATGCACTCGTGTGATAACAGAAGAATATAAGGCACAAACAGCATCATTTTTTTTTTCACACAAATTATGCTCAAATAAATTTATTTTGATAAAATACAGCAAAAACAGCTATTTCCAAATCTTAAACAAAGGCTTGAATAGAACATGATGTCTCTTTTTACACCTAAACTTGGAGCCACAGTGGCATAGTCGTTAGTGTTGTTAGTGAAAGCAGTTCAATCCTCAGCAGTGACAGGATTCTTTCTCAACCTAGTCTCATAACATTCTTCTCAGGGAACACAGACAGGTGATGCAGAATCAGAAATTCAACAACTGATTCATGAAAATTCCAGACCAGGTGATGTCATTATCTATACTGATGGCTCTTTGTTGAGAGACAGAAAAACTGCATGGGGGATTCATAGCAAAAGCCAATGGACGACTGTTAGTGCAACAAAAGCTGGCATATATTACAACATCTAGTTTGAGAATGGAGGTAGAGGCTTGAAAATCAGCTGCATAACACATGTTGTGATTGTAACTCTCACAAAGTATGCTGAGAAAGGTGGAAACGGGTAAGCCCCATGAAGAGTGTCGTGAGGCACATTCAGTGTTTCCATTATGTTCACTTTCATTCTTTGTTCCAGCACAGAAAATAGGAAAACTACAAAGAATCCTTTTAAGTAGTCCCCATTAATTAACCAAGCTTAGGTGAGTGAACCTACAGCTATGGTGATCCCATTCAGATAGGATCCAGAATAGAGTATTGTGTACAGGACTGTCTCCTGATTGTTTCTTTTCATTGCGATCATGTGTTTAGATATTGTTATAATCAAAGCATTAACCACCATCTTACTCATTTTTAGGGTCTGTAATATGCCATGAAAGAAGCTCATTGACTTTCACAGGTCAGGTTGGAGGGAGAGTTGTGAAGAAAGATTCTGGAGCTTTTGCCGTAACTACAAGTAGTCTGACTCTGGAGGTCATTGCCGTGAATAAAGCAGTAACTTGGCTAGAGACAAAGATTTCACTAGGGCATACTTTCTCAGTGACTCGATGAGTATGCTCAGGAAGACAGAGAAGGGCTGGGTCCAAAGGCAGTGGTTGGTGGCTCTACAGCATTCATGGCTGACAAAGATTAGTTTTATTTTCATGCCAGGACATCTATATTCAGTCAGCTTATTCTCTTTCGTGAGCCAATCTTAGGCTGTATCTGTTTGTCCAGAGACTGCCTACCTTTATTATCAAGGGGCAACTGTCTAGATTTCTCATCTGGATCTGAAGTGTAGGGGGCTTGAACCCAAATTCACCAAAGATACCATTTATATGAGAACGTCCCGCAACAAAAAGTGGCACACTTCACTTCATAGGTCTAGAGTAGCATCCTTTGGATATTTTCTCCAGGGCATGCAGGTGTGTTGAGAAATAAACAGCAAGCTGTTGTCAAGGCCCTTTAGAAATGAATGAACAGTTCAGAGGCACAATTAGATAATCATAGTCTGAAAAGATTGGTACAATGGGAAGTGACTAGAAGCCCTGGCCGACATTCCACTCAGACGAAAGGCAAGATGGACATAAACTCAGACTGCTACTGGTACCATCGGAGTTGGAACTCTTTGCTGGCTACTGAATATGGGGATGGAGCATACATGAAAACGTTCTGAGTGCTGTGATGTCGGTTCTTGAAACTCAACTCAACTCATTTCACTTGTAATACTGTCTGAACCTAGGATCTTTTCACATTTTATATGATGAAAAGTGCATTCTGAACGTCCATCTTTAAAACTGGTGATCCTTTGTTGTTAAACAAGGTTCTTAAAGGCCAGTGCGCTAAGTGATGATATGGCCAGTTTTATCATTTTTTATGTGGTCTCTGTACTATACTAACAATCTTTCAGAAAGGTCATTACAATTTCTTGACTAAATATTAATTCTTTTTTTCCCCCACATTGATATTTTGGCCAACAGTTCTAGAAATTTAAGAGCATTTATTTGTTTTTTTTTAGAAATGTAAGAGCGTAATAAACAGCATCCTTTCTCGAAAGCTGAAATATTTTGGTCATATCAAGCGCCACGACGGATTGGAAAAAATTATAGCAGAAGGCATGGTACCAGGAAGGAGGGGCAGAGGCCGACCATCATGAAGATGGGCACAGGATATAAGTGACTCCTTGAGTGTGAAAGTTTATGAGGCGGGGTAACTGGCAAGAGACTAAGTTTCTTACAGGCAGACTGTGATGAGAGCGACGTTCTGCAAAGGACCTGCTACATGATGATGATAATAAGAGCATTCATTTGTTTATCTCCTCTGAAAGGTTTTGGCATCTTTGACAATTTGTACAATTCTCATTCTGAAGATGATTAAGTCCAGACATGTTTTTGTTATTTTTAAATTTGCTTTGTGTTTTGTCCTAAATCTTTGAGCAGATAACTCACATAAGCAATATTCACATTCATTTTTTCTTGTTTCTCTATGTTTACATTATCTATCCTCTTTTTAACACTTTCCATGCAGATATAAATCTATATATTTATTAATATACAAGCGAGCTTACTTAAATCTGAATATGCATGTGTGTATAAATGTATCTATGTATTCATGAGTGAATGTGCATCTGGGTGTGCATGTATATAAAGTAAAGGACCCCTCTGCAAATCTGTTCATCCCCTTGTGGGATGCAATTTTTCGTTATTAGAAGCCCTACTCTGGCTTTTGCCAGGGGCCGCAATATAGCCCGGCCATAAATATGGTCTAATAGCTAAACACGGTTTCTGGGACCTCTCCATGGGTGATCCTCATTCACATGGTGGCACATTGTGTCATCGGGTGTTTATCGCTTGTGTGATGTCCTGGTGAGGTAAAAGTAGATAGAGAGATAGAGACCCTTCTGCAAGCCTTCAGGCATAAGGAAATACAGGCTAGACCTTCAACTTATAGACCAGTCATCACTTGGTGAGTAATGTGGTCAACATCATGCTAGCCACCTTTACTTCTCAGGAATATAGCTGGTACCCACTCAAGGCTGGATCAAATTTTTTTTTAAGTCTTGCTCCATCAAGACCTGAACCCATGACCTTCCGATCTGCAGGCATGAGTCAAGCCACTTCCTCATAGCAACTCCTGTGCATGTACATATGTGTCTAAATATATAATACATACGTATGTGAGTGTGGGTGTGCTCATGTGCCCATATGACTGTAAAGCTGGCATTATTAAAGCAAGGGCTGGTTGGCTGCAGTGGTTCGTTAGAACTTCCTTGCCTTTAGCCTTCCACCTTTCTTGTTTAGTAAAGTTTTTCTATCATATCATTAAACAGTGGTACCTTGGGTCACAAATGCCTCTAGTCACAAACAAATCGACACACAGTTTCTGAACAAATTTTGACTCAACCTGCAAACAATACCTCAGCATACAAACACAGAAGCATTGCTTTGGCAACATGTTTGCGTGCATTGAACACTGTTGTTGCGCAGTTCTTGACTTTTTTTTTAACTGTTGGTGCTTTCTGCATTAAATTAGAGCCTCATTATGGCTCTCAAGTAGGTGAAAAATGCCTAAGTGTATTACAGTATAAATGAAGAAAAAAATAATAACTTTTAACGTGAGAATGGTGTTCCTGTTTCTGATCTTGCCAAGCCGTCAAGCAATATAACATGGCTAAACCTACAATCTGCACTATCTTAAAGAACATAGATGCATTAAAGAAATGGCTGATGTGGAAAAGAGTCATTATGTTAGTGAAGCTAAGGTCTCAAATCTTAGAATGGAAAAATTGTTTCGATTAATGAAAAGTAGCGTGTTGGAGATACTGTTAGCAAGGCTACAATATGCAAGATTACTTTATTTGTGGCTGTGATTAAGTGGCAAAAACGTGGTATGCTAGGTACGCTAGTGTTGACGGATTTAAAGCAAGTGAAGGCTGGTTCCAGAAATTTTGTAGGGGAACTGAAATTGATTGTGTTTTTAGGCATGGAGAAGATACCCAAAGGGAAGTCAAAAATCAATAGGTTTCTGGGGCGGGCAAATAGCTTGATTGGATTAGGTTTCTGGGGGCGGGCAAATAGATTGATTGGATGTGCATTAATTTCAATGGGAAACGTTTTTTTTTTCAGTTGATTACTTCAGTTTACGACTGGAGTCAAAGAGTTTGTAACCCGAGGTACGACTGTATATACCAATAATCTTGTATTTGTTGAGCATTAATCTCATTAATTAATTCCTGTTCTTCATCACTTATTTCTTATAACAGGGAATTTAAGTTAAGAAGCTGTACCAAAAATCTATTCATATAACTAGTGACACTGATAATATTTTATTCAAGTATTTAATGTTGACAAACTGCAGCCAGTAACAGTTATTTCTTTGATAGTATGCCATCACCAGCTAACAAACTATGCAATTAGAGTGTTTTGAAAACATGTTGAGCCTTTTTTTTTTTTTTATAACTTTAAAAACTAGAACTATAATACTGTATAAAAACAGTTCATAATATTTTGAAAAGCATCGAAAAAACTTAAATCACGTACCATCCTTGGAATTGATATGAACATGGTTCTCCGTAACATCAAAACTTCCAGATTTAGCCATGAAGGAGGTCTTTTGAGGACTGTATTCAAGAAAAATGTGTGCATTATAATGTTAGTTATCTGTAGAGCCATGCTAAGTGTCTCCTTAAATAAATATGTTCATTAACAACCCACTATTACGATACTAAGCTGGATGGGAGTTCAGTGTGGGTAAACAATTGTGTCATGTCTTAGCCCGTCTCTGGCCAACAGGCAGGGTGAGTGAGTGAGTGTGAGTGTGTGTGTATGGTTGTGTGTGTGTGGGTGTAATGACACAGCATACTACAGTACTGGTTATATAATGTTATTTTATTGTCAGCATTATTTATGATCATCAAGTGCCATTATAATAAGTGTGAGTGATCGTGATCTGTGGTCTCAACTACTAGACAGGCATATTCCGCTGTATCTCATCAGGTACATTACTACAGAGTCATATCACTAAATAAGCTTTAAAAGGAAGCACAGAAACTGAATAAATTCCACAGAAATATAGATTACATGGTCTCTCTCAACACTCTGTCTACTCACTGAAAGTTCATGATGGTCACATGACTACCAGGGTAATTTTAAATTTATAACATATTTAATATATAAATTTACATAATGATGGATTTTTCATTTTTATTGTTAAAGCTTCAGCAAGTCTCAGCTTTGGTCTAATCAGTGAGGTTCTTATCTCAGCTTTCCTCGGAAGTCCTGTACCTGATGACAGAAGATGCTTTTCAGCTTGCCTCCTTACTGTCCAGGTTTAACATGAATACAATATTGCAGGTTTCATAAAGTACTTTGAAACATTTGTTTCTCAAATCAGTTCCTAGCAATTTGTTTGTTTTCTATCATACAAAAGCTATTTATACCATAGTAATTTTTCTTCTACTTATGAGTAATGAGCTATGAGTTATATTTGGGTTATCTTCACAGCACTTCCGACATGTCCATAGGTGCTCAGAATCCCCCTTTAACATATGCATCATCATCCTGTGGTTGACCCTCTCAGTCCTATGTTGGTTGACACGTCTTCTCGTGTGCCTGGTGTGCTTCTCGTGCCTGGCAGTGCCGATCTTTACTCTCAATTCTTGCACTCCTTGCAAAGATGTGTATGTGCTGCTCCCAAAATCCTTTGATCTTTCTACCTCTCTCATGGCATTAACAAAATCTGCATTGCTTCATTTTGCACCTTTTCCAGTCTTTCAATCTGTGCATCGCTGACTAAGTATGGCTAAAGCATATTCCATTGGAGACAGAACCAGCCCCTTTGAACAGTAGCAAAAGCAGCCTTGATGTTGGCAGTGACCAGAACTCTTCTACTGTGTACAAAGCATCTTCCATCTGATGTTAAAATTTTTCCCAGATATTTGAAATGATTTACTTCTTTAAGATTTTCTCATCTATTTTGAGACTGAATCTATTTTATGCTAGGAGATGATCATAATTTGTTTCCTTAGATTTTAATTTTAAAATTATTTTGCTCACTGTATGCTATAACATTATCCACTAAATTCTGAAGATGTTTTTCTTTTTATTTAATCAACCTGTATCATCTGTAAGTTTATGTAGTTGTCCCCATGTCGGATGCAAACTTTCAGTTATTTTGAAGCCCCACCCTGGCTTTTGCCGGGAGCCCTTAATATAGCTGGGCCTTAAAAATGGCCTAACGGCTAAACGGGGTTTCCGCGACCTCTCCACGGGTGTTCCTCATCCGCGTGACGGCATTTTGTGTCACCAGGTGTTTCTTGCTTGCGTTATGTCCTGGATGGGTACAACTTACCTACCTACCTACCATCTGAAAGTCCTGTGTTGTTGCCATTAATGTTTTACTCCAAGATGAAACATCAAATCTTCAATTTGCCTTAACGCTGTGTGTGTGCATGTGTGTGTATAATATATATATATATATATATATATATATATATATATATATATATATATATATATATATATATATATATATATATATATATATATATATATATATATATATATATATATATATATATATATATATATATATATATATATATATATATATGGATATTTAATGCAACCATTCTGTTAAGTACCAAAATATGGCTATGAAGTAATCAACAAAGTATTGAAACAACAACAAAAAAAGATAAACTGCTTCAACAATTGTTTAAACATGAATTAAAACTGAAATATTATCAGTTGGTAACAATTTATCACAATCAAGATAATGTAAGTGTTCAAACCGACTACTGTAAGCCCACTTAATATCTAGATTTGTTACAATCATGATCATTTATATTGAAACCACACTAGGTGGCATGAAAGTGATAAGATCTTTGTAATTAACATATATTACTGAAGCACGATAACAATACTTAAATTATTTGTCAATGATGGAAGATCTGACTGCTAAAAGAGAGATGTTATTGTGTAACCATTTAACTGAAGAAGGGGCTAGGGGATGAATTAAACAGACGGGAAACCATAAAAATGTTCCTCAACATCTTCATTAGGTTAGTCCACAGACCGTACTGGAGTTGTTTAATCACTTAAATGTCTCGTTCTCAGCAATTAATTTCACCTCTGCATAGCTCTGAACTCCAGTGCTCAATCCGAGGTCAGTGTCTTATCTTTTTTTTATTTAATCTTTACTGAAAACCATTCCAAGTGTTTTACTTAAATTTAAATTGAAACCATATTTTTTCGTTCACTTCAAAACTTTCCCGAGTTATTCAAGAGCAGACACAGGACATGGTTCCAGTTCTGATGGTACCCACAGCAGTCTGATTATATGTCAATCTTGTCATTCCTCTGAGTGTTGAATGTCCGCCAAATCGCCTGGTCACTGTCTGCTGCACCATTCCCTCCAGATCTGTTTGCACTTCTGCGCTGTTCACTTGCTCCCAGAGGGCCTTGACCACATCTTGCTTGTAATGCATTTTAAAACTGGTAATTGTTACTACAGCTAGTTTGTGCTTTGTGCTAGATACCACCAATAAAACTGTTAAACTGAATCTGTAACTGAAAGTTTTGGAAAGATTTGTTTTCTGTTTAGCATCATCAACAGTATTTCTTGATAGTCTGTTTTCAGATCTGTAAAAAGGACAAAGGGGTGGATGATCTGAGGTCACTGATCATTAAAAAATTTTTTTGGGATAGAACAGAGTCTTGGAGGGTTCTATTTTGTTGTTTAAAAAATTATAACTGACACTGTTATTAAGATATCCAAACATAAGTATAAGCGCCAAGAAACAGATTAAAAACAGCATATTCATACCAACCCTGTGCTACCAGTGCCAGACCTGAACATTATCAAAGGTTAACTACATAAAATTAACACTTGTGAAATGAGATGGAAGAGAAAATCCGCCAACTTAACCATCCGAGACAAAGTTAGATTATCAGACTGTAGGAAAAACACCATGAAGCAAATTCACTGAGAAACAGAAGATCAAATGGTTTGGTTATTTAGTAAGAATGCAGCCAGAACAACTAGCAGTGCAGGTGCTAAACATGAAAAGATCTGAAGTGAAAACAAGAGTCAGAAAGAGAATCTGGATTGCTGACATTAAAGAACTTTTACATTAACATGGAATGACAACAGCCATTGCTGCCTATCAAGCAATGGCTCACAAACTGTTCCTCCCCACTATGGCGGAAATGTAGATTGATGATGATGATGATTATGTGTATTGAAAGTCAGAAATGAAATATATATATATATATATATATATATATATATATATATATATATATATATATATATATAGACTATATATATATATATATATGTGATGTGTGTGTGTGTGTGTGTGTGTGTATATATGTGTATATATATGTGTATATACGTGTATATACATGTGTATATATGTATTGTTATATACGTATATATACATGTATATATACGTATATATACATGTAATATATATACATGTATATATACATGTATATATACATGTATATACATATACATCTATATATATATATATACATATATATATATATATATATTTTATATATATATATATATAATATATATATATATAAATATATATATATATAATATATATATATACTATATATATATATATATTTATATACATATATATAGAGAGAGCTGGGGATAGACTGAGTTTCTTTCAGGCAGACTGATGAGAGCGAAGTTCTGCAAAGGACCTGCTACATGATATATATATATATATTTATAAAAGAAATACTTGATTGTTATTTGGCTGTCCTTGTATCAATTAGACTAGCCAACTATAATGAGTTTACTATCACCCAGTCATTTCCAAGTCAACTGTGATAAGTTTACTATCATCCAGTCATTTCCATCATGTAAGACTTAAATTAAAGGGCTTATGAATTCAGGCGCATCTAAATTGTTTTTTACATGTACATATATATATATTTTTTTAAACATATTCAGGGATAAAATATTTAAGGAACAGAAAATGCTCCTATATTTGAGTGCTAATGAAGAGTATTTATACTTTTAAAATATTAAACATGGAGTAGGAGTTATTCAGAGGTTACCCTGTCAGCCTCTGGTCCAAGCAGACTACTTCTCACTGCTTGGAGTTTTACCAAATAAGAAACATAGGTTGACATAGTGGGGCGAATTTTCAGCCTTGAAGGAGACCCGTGGCTCTACATGAGCAGGGTACAAATGCATTGGCAGTTTAAAATACCAAGAAAAAAAAGGACAATAAATTAGAATAGGTGGATGCTGTGGCAAAATTTGCGATTAGAAAGGCTATATTGAATTTACAACAACAAAACAATGTATCACAAGTGAGATTCTGGTATAGAGATATCTGACTCCCCACTGGTGCTGCAGAAAGTGGTAGCTTGGTGATATTCTACATAATGGTTTACAGAAGTCGTCAGCACTTTTAGAGATGCCATGCATTTAAAGTAATCCTGCCTGGCTCCCATTTACACCGTGACGGTTCCCACTGGCTGCCCTGTGTAAAAGCAGTTCTGTTTTATTCGAGGCTGAGACAAAACTGTGGAGCTCTCTTTCGTGGCAGACTACACTGAGATACCTTT